GTGTTTAATAAAAAAGGGAACGCTCTGTCCATATAGGACTCGGAAACGCCTGCTCTCGGCCCGGTCTGGACCCTTGATCTCCTTCATGGGAACCGAAACAGAAGTTCGCGAATTCTGACGTTATGAGTTGTAGTGACGTTTTCTCTTCATGGACGGTTCCGGTGAACGCCACGCGACAGATTCCGGCAGCCTATTTCGAGAAAAACGATCGACTGATTCTCCGAAAGACCCTTACGTTTTCGGACGTGGAAGGCAAGGAAGGGTCATGACTAGGGCTAGGCGTTTGTGGCGGACTTTTTTCGGGAATATCGCGGACCTGTGGCGGATCTCCCCAGCAAAAATCGCGGACTTATGGCGGATGCTTTGTCGACGAATCGCGCTAAGTCGGGAAAAAGACAAGGGCAGCTTCATGGCTCCGAACAAGCAAAACGAAAGCTCATGCTTATGTTCGTCTGCTGTCGTCAATTTCCTTATGCTACCTCGGAGGCTTGAAGCTAGGACCAGAAGTCACATTTCGTCACTGTTATGATTAAGCATATCGTACATGCTGAGATCTTGCTTTTCATTCTCCGTCTAGTCGCGCATTTCCTGAAAGATCTCTCAGCCGAAACACTGTTGCCGGGTACACTCAGACAAGTCAGAGCGATCTTCGCCAATTCGGGAAAACGAGCCGTCGCATTTATCCACAAAACTATCGGATGAGACGAAGCCTCGAGTTTTCTCTTGGCCGACAAGTATAGTCGGAGTTCAGCCTTCCCCGGATCGTTATCCTCGAACTACAGTATATTTTCGATGACGTAGCCGGCTTCGATCTCGATTGTTTTCAACTTCGCGGGGTCGAATACGCGACAGGCGCGGAAGAAGTCCGCAGCGGATAAGGATATCTCGCCATCGATGGTCCCCTTGAAATCTGTCGAACGGGATGCGGGGTCTGTCACGGTAGGAGTCAAACTGACCATGTTTATCCCGTGAAAAAAAAACGAAATTCGCGGAAGGTGGGCATTCCGGCCGAAAATCGCGGATTTCATGGCGGATGTGGCGGCCGCCACAAACGCCTAGCCCTAGTCATGACTCATGATTGAATCCCTCCCTATCAGATGAACTGGCGTCGGCGGCAGGGAGGAGTCATGTCCCTCGGATCCGCTTCATTATAGGCGAGCGTAGCACATGTTGATCGATTTTAGAGAAAGCGTCTTTGTCACCATTGTTGAGAAAGGTTCCGTTCGGATCTCCTTCCAAACGTAATCTCGACGGCCACGATTATCGGAAGCTACTTTCAAGTTCGTGAGTTTTTCCGGCGCGTTTTTTCGAACTTCGAGTTTCCCCACTCAAATCGCTTCTTTCACGATAGGATAACGTGATTTTCCGCCCAAGTTATCAGAGAATCTGCCCGTTTCCCCGAAGGATGGAGACCCTGGCAGGCAGGTGGGCGGGCGCTTCCTTCCGGTGGCATTCAGACATTTCAAATTCCGCGTGGATGCCGCTTGCTCGCTTGCCTGACTGCTCGGCTGCTAAGTGACATCAATCATGCTGAACTGAGCACTCGAATGAAATGTGAATGAAGAGCGCGTCGTCTTGAAAGTGCTCGTCGCTCCATATTAGGCTTGAACTCAAGAATGAGTCGGAGTTTGCTCTACGAGAAGTGACAATTGCCGGCGAGCGCATCCTGTGACTCCATAAAGGCTCCTTGAGCAATTTCGTGCGCCTCGTAGAGAGGGAAATTAGGACGGAGCCTGGAAGTCGGCAAGAGACGGACCGGCGCGGCGCTAAAGCCGATGTCCTTCTCGCTTGAGACCCCGAATCCGGGGGTCCCGTTTTCGTAGGGGAATTTGACAGCTTCCTCCTCGAGCTTCGCAAAGAATGATCGGTTTGGCTCTCGGTATCGAAATCAAAGAGCTTTCTCAAGTGTTTTGAGTCTTGTTCTCACCAGCGCGACAGCGCAAAGCACGTAAAGTTGAGCTACCTACCGCCCGCCGATCAGGCGAGCGTGAATCCGCCGATCGGGCTTCACGGAGCGGGAGAAAGCGAGCCGGCAGCAAATATCATTCTACCAATTGCAATTATGAGTTTGATCGTTTGCCGTACAGCGGCGTCCTCACAACGTTAGACGAGGAGATGGTAATGGCTCAACTTTGTTTTACGGCACGCTGTAATAGCCTTCCCCGTACCGCCAAGCTGATTTCTCGCCTATTGCACTGCTTCCACGGGTGTATCTATTATGTCTCCCGTAGGGGGCTCTCGTTCCGTTTGCCAACTGGAGATGAAAACATTCGAATTCGAGTACGCTTCCCGACGCACATCCTTACGTTTGGAGTTCGCTGAACGATTGACGATCCATCATAGATATGTAGGCCATAGCCATGATGAGCAGACAAGAGAATCCTGTCTCCGTCTCATGAAGATTCCCCTCGAATGTATTGATGTTTTCCTACCTGGTATCTTTTATCCGAACTTGATGCGTCCGCAGTCAGAAAATGAATATTACCCGACCTTCAAATCGTATTCAGCCGGAGCAATTAATTATCGAAAATTCTGGGAAATTCATTGTCCGGAACTTCAGTCGAAGTTACGAACGATCTGGATTCTGAGACGAGGTCTCTATGAAGGGTGGATAATCTCGAGAGCGCGACTGAGGCTCGAGAGTTCCCCTCAGTTCGTCGCAGCAGACAAAAGAATCCCGGAATGATGAAACACGATCCGAATGACTGATTTCGAACTCCGACGGTGTTTGCTAATGCCTTCAGGACGAGAGGAAAAGAAAAACCGGCGGAAAAAATTCCGCTGATTATAGAGTGCACGGCATATTTGTGGGTGGCACTTAACAGTTTTCTGCAATTGTTCGATTGTTCCTCCGCTTGAGAACTTTCTCAGACGGTGGGAAAAAATTCAAGACACTCGCTGAGAGGCATGCATTCATTCATTCATCCATTCCTCCCCCCTCCCTGTTCCCCATCGATGCTTTGAACCGCGCCTTCGGACTGCGCGTTCAGATTCCTGTCCGGAGCAGGAACGCCGTCTCGGACAATATCAAAACAGTCGATTCCTGCTAAACAAATCGTTGCTCCGAATCGAAGACCCGCAATTCGAATTAGTTTCGGAGCGCTGGGAAATCCTCGGAACGACATCCGGCCGATGTCAAATCTGAGGGCATATGGCGTCCATGTCAGAGCACCGTTTTGCATAACTTCGTAAACGCTCATCTCCCCGTCCCTCTTCCGTTGATTGATTTTTGGAGACTTCCCGGTGAATGAATCAGGAGCGTTTTTGCGCAGCGCTTCCACGAATCCCATGTTTGGTATCTTCTGGGAACGAAAGGACAAACTTCACTCCATTCAAATTTCATTCATTTCATCTCGAGAGATGGAGTGGATTGGAAGAAATCTGAAGTTTCAAGATTCGGCAGTCGATGAGCAATCAAAGCAATCATGTTCGGGACGTCGGCTGCGCTACAACTGATTGGTGAATTCCCCCAGATCGATAGAGTTCAACCCAGACACCAGCCCCCATCGAATCGACTGTCTCCGAGTCTCAACGCTATCCCTCTGCCCGGAGTCAGAAACATCATTTTCTATCGCTGTCGTTCCAGTTCAATTGGCTCGCGATCTCATTCGTATTAGTATTCTTGGGGTAGATGAGACGTGCATCGATTTGTCCGCAATAGCTTATTGAATCTGTTATTCCGATACGCGCGGTTCGCCGCTCGAATTGAATCGACGGCTACTTTATGACAACAAAAATCCGATCATCGATCCGCATCTCATTAAACCAAGCTCCACTGCTATCACTTATCGTCGCGGAGGTAGACAGGTTGAGATAATCCATCCCGGAATGTGTTGAAGCAACGGCCGTTCGGCACCCTGAGCTGGGGTAAACTTTAGGAAACACTCCACGCCAAGGGAGCTTGTGTATGCTCGTACACACTGGGTCTCTGCTATTGCTACGTGTCGTGGAAGCCTTCTCGTCGTGTTCGACACTGATGAGATCAGAGATAGACGAGTGACACCTACTTCCTGAACTGACGAAGGCCATTGCGAAGGCCCACCCTGGAGCAAACCAACGAGGGTGTCCCCGATCCCACTATGATTCGGGAGGGGGGGGGGCGTCCAATTCGCCAGCTCAATAATCTGAGTCGATGTCCTGTACTATCCTGCAAACAGCTCCCAGAGGCCGGAGAACCGCAGGAATGCGAACAATGCTGATCGATGATGCGCAGGACTGAGCTTCTGAGAGCATCCTTTTCCTGGAGTGCGGAAGCTTTTAGTTACCTGTAAGCTGCTAAGCCAATGGGTGAGACTATTGTTGATTGTGAGCCCTCCAGTCGTCCTCCACGTTCGGATCCTATTGGAATCGAGTAAAACATCTAGATTATTGACGCCTGACGACTTCGGAACGTCATCTTTCCGAGGATCTGAATAAAATTTCGAATCAGGGCAAGAATAGAAATAAATAGCTATCCGTATCACGAGTCAGCTTCTGAGTCTTCGAGCTCGGATCAGATATAAATAAGACGTTTTTCGCGGATCGTGCATTGCCTACAGCGTCCATTTCGAGATCGCGACGTTGCGCGGCAGGCTTACAACGAAATCTCATCCTCTATACCTGCCTCAAAAAGCTCTCTCGAGCAGGCCTGAACTGGGGTGCGTTGAGGGGAAAATTCGGAGTCGACGAGATCGAGGTGCTAATGCGAGGGGCGAAAGTATTCGTGGGGAATACATACATACGGTAGCCTTCTTTCCCCCCGCTCATCGCGCGGTTCTCAACGTTCTCCTTGGAGCTCAAAATACCGGCTCGTGTATCTTGGCTGATTAAAAAATCGCAAGAGGAGTAGAAGATCTTCCCCGATTCCATAGAAGGGGAGAACATCACTCGGGACCGAGCTTAAATCAATCCTCGAATTCCGAGAATGAAGAATGAAGGTTCCCCGGATTCTCTAAGTCTAACCGAGCATAAGTTTTCAGATGGAAGCCGGGATCCTAGCTCCAGCAGTGGATATGCTCAACATGGAGGCTCTGGGCGTAAATGCGGCCGCTGTGAGCGCTGCGCTGGCAAGTCCTCTAGGAGTGTCCATTCCGGGCGGGGGTGGTGGAGGCACAGTTCCTGGAGGAGGCCTGCCTCTTCCACTTCCGCCGTCACCTACAGCATCCCTCGATGGCGATAAGACCAAACTCACCGTAGACTACGGTTACCGGGTCTTCAGAGAATACGCTCAGAGCAAGGGAATCAAGGAAGTCGATAATCTTCCCGTGGAGGAGATTGCAGCGTGAGTGAGAGATCCAATTCGCGATCAGGAATATCCGCGGCTCGACGCCTCGAAGCCTTCGAATATCTCGTCGTTCCGAGATTTTGAGCGTCTTATGATCGTTGCAGGCTTCTTCAGACGTTTTATGACGAAGCGCGAACTCGAGACGGGGTTCCGTTCAGTGCGAACTCTTTGGTAGTCATTCGCTATGCCATCAACCGCTATTATCGATCACCACTCGTAAACCGACAGATTGACATCGTACGCGATCCAGCTTTCCACGAAGCCAACCGTACATTCAAGAACATCGTTCGTCGTCTGCACCAGGAAGAAAAACTGAGGTCGGTGGCCGCCTCACTGGGGCTTGGAAGATTCCGTCGGTCATGTGTGTAGATTCCGAGAACCAAACGTCTATTGCTTCCAGGGGTCCTGGAGCTGCGCCGCAGCGGGTTCGTTCCAACGTTCTGAGCGAGGACCAGGTGAAGCTTCGTGACTACTTCATCGCTCAATTGGCCACGCCACGAGGTCTCCTGCACAAAGTGTGGTTCGATCTCAGCGGCCACATGGATCCGAGATTAGCGGATAAGATTCAGGAGCTGACGAGAGAAACCTTCAAAATTGCCAGACGATGGAACCCCGAGAAGAACTGTTCGTTGGCGTCAATTTACCAAGTAGGTTCAAAACTCCCTGCAAAAGAGGGCCCCACGCTTCATGGATGATTACTTTTCCGTATCATATATGTCTTGTTAATGCTTTCTGCATCAATTCTATTTTATTTATTTTTCATTGATTCGGTATACCGTTGCATTTATCCCACGTCTGTGGCGTTCTTCTTCTCGAGAGAAATTAGAGTCTAGCAGAGTTCGGGACGCACCTCGATCCATTCGAAAAACTTGGGTCCTCGACTCTCCGACTCGGCTCCTAAGGATCCCGAAAACGATAAGGGTAGTCGACTAGCGAATCAGAAATCTGTGCTGCGACAGATACCCCTCAGTCTCTAACAAACGACATGTTCATGACATCCTATACATACCTTGTGCGACGACAATACGAATTCATTTAGCCGATCCATTTGTATTAAGCAGTCCGATCAGATTCATCTGTCGAGACATTCGATCCAGAATTATCGGGACCCGCTTCGCCGCAGACCACCGCGTTGAGGGCGACTCGGCCAGGGGCCAAAGATGATTACGTATTTATACATACTAGCTTCGTAGGTAGGTACCCTCTGGCCCCGAGCATGACCTTAATAAACTTATCGATCGATGTGTTTTGGCATTCATGCTCATCTCTGCTTCTTAGTAATTGAGCGAATAAGTTCACCCTGGCTGGCTGGTTGGCTCGAAAACCCGAATCGATTGGCGCACTGGAGTAAGCATTGCTTAAGAAGCAGGGGTCGCGCTCCCCCATCGGGACTATATTTTATCCTTATCGTGTTGTCGAACCTGTCGACATCACTGACCATTAGTAATGTCGCGATGCCCTCTAATGGTCAACTTCAATTACGGAGCATTATGCCGACCACAGAGCTCGTCTCCTCGGACCCCAGAGTTTTTCGATGTCGTTCTCATCGAGGTTGTTTGGCCGGAACGCCAGTCGAAGACCCATCGCGGTGAAGTCACTCCATCAGAAAGCCTAGGCAACGAGCGTAATAACTTTTTTCCCAGTTATTGAGAATAGCCCCTCATGGACATGATTTTCTGCCGCGGCAGAATCCGACGGATGGGTCGTATCTCTGCATTCTCGCTGTGTTTCCCCAAGGGTGGGGACGTCTCCGGGAAGAGAATTGATTCCGTGACGCTGCTTGACGGAGGGCCTCGTTCTTGGAATCTTAGAGTCTACCATCTCGGCTCCTCTGGCCCCCGAGCCTCATTCGTGGGTCGCCGCACTCAATCTTCCCTCACCTACCCAACCCCCGTTCGCTGAACTTTTGTCTCCACCGACCCCCGGTCATACCCTGCCCCGCCAGGACGGCAACCGAAGATATGCACTCGCGAGCAATTAAGTCATCGATCGCTAAGCAGTGCGGCTTTTTAATTCTTGGCCCTCGACCTGAAGAGACCGACGATGTGAATTAGCTTTGAGATAACTCCGCGTTCGACTCTAATGGAACCGAAAGCTTTGTGATGATAGAGACGCCCAGGTATTTCATGATTGGCGAAGTCCTCCGACAATCGGCCCGACGGCTCGTAGACTCTCGTTCGCGCATTCTCATCTGGCGGAAATTCTCACAATTTACTAGGCTCGCTCTGAATTGAAAATTCAAGCTCTCGAGCTCGAAGGGAGAGCAACCGTATTCCCCGATCGTTTTGCGTGAAGTTCCTATCGGCTCTGGTTGACCTCGGGAGGCAGACGATGGATTTGTCGCCATTCGAGAGGAAGCCATCTACGCACTCCGAGAGGATTGCTTCCCGGACTTATCCCGAAGTTCGGATGAGATTCTGGGTTCTCAGAATAAGGGGGTGAACGTGGGTCAGCGGACCACCGCTTCCGCTTTCGGGGCAAGACCCAAGAGCTTCTACAGTTTCTCGACGAAGTATTTCGCATGACCTAGGTAACAAAGAACAATGTTTGTGGGTGGGATGGGGACTCTGATTCGAACGGAAAACATAATCATCGATGGGTCGAATGGAAATTAAATTTTTGAGCTTCTCGATTGCAGGTAATGGACAACAGTGAACCCAGCACATGTATTTTGACGGAGCGGCCGGGAGACCCTCTGTGTCCGGTTCGGTCTTACGAGGCCTATCTGGCTCGGATCAATCCAAACTGCCAGTCATTATTCCAGAGACCGAAAGATATAGTGAGTTCACGCAATTTGTCTCTTCTGTATTCTCTCGATTCAGAGGGCCGACGCTCACCTTGCAGGCTCCGAGCGGCACGGCCGAAAACGCGAATTTGATTCACTGACTTTTTTGTGTTCGATCAGGTGACTCCCGCTGAAACGATCTGGTTCTACAACTCTCCCTTGGGCAAGACCCTCCTTTCGAAGATGATGTCGTCTATATCGAAATGCGCTCAACTGTCGCGCGTTTACGGCAAGTCGCGAACGTGGGCGGCTGCAGGTTTCGGACTGACGAAGCCGAGCGAACAGCCCTCGTCAAGGAGATCCCATGGCTCCTCGCAGAAGCATCACTTGAACAACAATAATAATAACAACAACAACAACAATGCTAGCAACAACAACAATAGTCATCACCACTCAAATAACAACATCTACCAACACCAAAGTAGCAACAATAATTCGAGTTTGGCGAACAACAATGGCAGTCACCATGGCAGCGACTCATTCTCGGTGAGTATCGTCCGACGTCGGCACATAATAATTATTCTACGTGAGACAGGTGAATCTTCCCCCGCGAAAAACGTATGAATCTATCCCCTTTCCCCCAGGACGTACTCCTTCAGGCGGAGGCGTTGTCCGCATCCCTCAATCCGAAGGCGCACGGTCCACTCCTGGGCGTACCGCTGGGCGGTATGCTACCGAATCAACAGGCTGCCCTTGCATCTCTTCTGCCCGTGTGGCAAAGACATCAGCAACAACAGCATTCGAACTCGGCCAGGAGCAACGGTGATCTCGCTGGTGAGAATCCTCGTTTTCTGTCCGATCTCGATGGTGTCTTCTTCAGTTTGATAGTCACTCTTCTCTCTCGAATTCTCGATACAGGCTACCGTAGATCTCGAATACGGAGACCTCTGCTGTGCGTATTTCCAGATAGTGGCATGGTTAACGTATGGATAAGAGACGCACTGCTGAACCACCAACTGTACAACGCGAAGTTCCTGCCCAATTATCTAAGACCGTCGGAGCCTTCCCGCGCGCGATCTGAACTCTCTCTGAACGAGAGTCCGAGCGAAGCGTTCCTCGGTATGCGCGCGGGACCTTCGAGAGAACCTCGCGCCGAAACTTCGTCCCCCGTAGCGCTGCTGAAGAAAGCCGCCGACGACTTCCCGGACTCTGGCGAGGCAGTTTCCAGGTCCGCCAGTAACAGTCCGGATGTCCTCAAAACGGATAACGGTGAGTTGAAGTTCCATATCGCGCATGTGAAACAATCATCCCAGTCCGTGAACACAGACCCCGGTGAATATCCGAAGACATTCTACTGCGTTGGCAGGAGCTCTTTGCGAACGACTTGAGAAATCTATAGCTCGTTGGGACTCGATCACAATCGACGTGAAGTCTGCTCTGATTTAGGAATCCTGTCAAAAAGAGACCGCCGTCCAATCGCCAAGCATAGGGCGAATCGCGAATCGCAGAGTTGGACTCGCTTCGCATGTATTTGTTTTCGGCTGTTTGTCTTGTGACTGGAGCGAAGTTCCAGGGGTGAAAAAGCGCGTGTTGAATCGAAATTCAAGGAAGCGACTCGTCCTAATCGCAGCGTTAACTCTTGCCTGACAGCAATGAGTCATTCGGGAGCCCTCGCCAGCTCCGCCGTAGGTTGGTTGGCAGCCTGGCTGGCTCGTGCGAATTCGAAGCCGGCTCGACGAGCCCAGCACAAGATTGGGTTCATACGGGGTTTGTTTGAGAGGGGAGGGCATGAGACGGGCCGCCGCAGGGAGGGGTAAGGGAAGTTAGCAATTGTTGGAGGGGGCTGAAGCGCGGAGAGACGCAAGGGAAACCGACTCGAAACACAGAGTCCGCAGCCGACTGGCGTGCGCGCTCGACTGAGTGCCAATATGCAGCTTTGATTCGAGTAACGGCGCCGCCAAATCGGTGGAAATTTATGAGGGGTTGGAGGAGGGGACCGACTCTCTGCTGCTGCCGCTGTTCTCTTTACGAATGACGACGCACACAAGTTTGGCAACCGACTCACTCACTCATCCACTCTATGAGTGGGTGACTGAGGTGGACGCCGGAGTCTGGCGACGGGCGCCGAGAGTGGGAGGCCACGACGGAATTCGGGGGTTGTAACTCCTTGTGCCTCCGTCGTCGAATAGTTCGTCTTCGCTAATTGCGGCCGCGATGGAGAAACGACGAAAAATCAAGAACATATTCACAAAACGAATGCCGCCGAGCCTCGGCGAAGCCCTCCACTATTCCGTCGCCACCGGCGGGGCTCCCCCCCCCGACCCGTGGCATCGAAACTCCTTCGTTCATGCGCACTCGTGCTCCGCTCTCTTCATTCTTGAAGAACGAACGGCGGAATTGCGTCAAATGAGCAAGAACAGGAAACGGCTTTGGATCGAGACCACGTCGCCGTCGTCGTCGCAGCCCTCGATGTTGCCGCCGCTGGTGAAGCTGTTGTCGAACAACGTCGACGAAGATGTAGAAAAAAAAGGAGGAGGGGGAACGCCGACGACATATTGACGATTTCGTCGATGTTGGCAAATTTTCAAATGTTATTCAAGTACTATTCGCAGAACAGAAGGAGCAGCAGCAGCCAACGCCGCCGCATATGCGCGGCAGTCGGAGCATATCGAAAAATGGAGAGCGGCTCTGCGCGCCGCATTCGCGTCGTTCGCCGAAAGAAATTGCAGCCAATATGTCGATCGATCGATTCGTTTCATTAAAATGCTTGAGTGCATATCGACCCTGAACGCGTGTGAATCGGGGCATGCATTCGAAAAATGCGCTCGTCGTATTCCGATGAAGGAAACAATTGCTCCAAGATTCCCGATTGAGATCGCTGCGTGCGGCTCATCGTCTCCCCGCTGACCGCGTCGCGAGCCCGGTCCCGCGGTCGACCGACGCATTCTGCTCGGGCATGGCCGACGTTCCGAGATACCAATGTCGATGATATGCTCAGCTTAATAATTGCATTAGGAATCTGTTGCGGCGGCGGCGGCAGCATCGCTAAGGAAGCAAATATGATCTCTCGGATCGCCGGGATGAGGAATCGGAAGCTCACACTCAGCCTGAGCCTCGAAACTACGGTGGCCTCTTGAACAGTTTTCATGGAGAGCAATAATTTCTAGCGATACATACCACTCTCTGTAGGACGGAGGCCCTACCTTCCTCGCCGTGCTTCGGGAAAACAGACGGTATCCGATATTCGTTTCCACGATCGGGTAGCATGTCTTCCGTGCATCAAATGTGTTGCAGTAGAATTTAGGTCCGAAATATACTGGAAACCCGCGGGGCGGAATCGGGGAATCCGCGTAAACTTTGAGAGCCGAGAAATGAAATGAGTCTCGACGCGGTTCGCATCTAAAATTAAGCGTGTCGCGTGTTCGAGTTCATCTTATCTAAGGCACCGAGTGGGGCGAGCTTCCTCTCAAATAGCAACACAACACTTGCCTGCGGATCCCGGGAACAAGTGCCCTGTGTTTTTAGATTTTCGAGCTCTCTCGGACTAGACGAGCTCGGCCGCCGGAATGCCCAATAATTTTAGCTGTCTGGCCGAAAAAAGATCCCAGAAATGAAATTCCTGCTCGCCGCAGAAATCCCCGAGGTACCGTCGATCTGATCGGAGCTTGAAGTTCGAAAATGTAATTCCGCAGGGTCTCCCCCGGCATCCCCCGGCGGATCGCCGTCTCCAGCATCGTCCGCTTCGGCTTCTGCGTCCCGGTCGTGCACTCAGTGCTCCGCCAAATGTGGTACTTCGGTGTACACTCTTAGCGGTCCGCAGTGCACGCAGGAAACGTTTTGTTCTCCCATGTGTCTCGGCCAATGGGCTTCCGGTCAAGCCAGACTCATCTCTCACGGCGACAATCTGACCGCGAAGCCAGGAGAGAGCAGCCCGTCCGAAGCGGCAAAACTTTGCGAATACTGTCGGATCAATGTGGTGAGTATCCCGGATCGAGAGAGTTCGGCGGTGCGATCTCAAACCTCGAGATACTTCGAATATGGATAGCGTCCTGCTGCTTGAAAAGTTTTCAGAAGTTGTTACATCCTCCTCTTATCGTACACAGGTTCCGAAGAATTCGCCGCATCACATGGTCGCTGCAGATAACTCTCTGATGAGTTTCTGTTGTCTCGAGTGTCTGCAGCTGTTCGACCTAGCGCCGAAACTCTCCAAACGCCGCCGAGGTATGCGAATTGTTGCTTTCGTCGAGCTTCCTCTCTATTCTCCGCACCCACATACTCCTTTCCCTTATTTGACAAGTGGGAAATTCACCGAGTTCCCTCCGACAAGACTCTCCAACGATGAATAATCGCGGCTCCACCGACATTCTGAGGATGTCAGAGATCCGCGCTGGAAATCGCCGGAGTTCAACAACTGTGGACTATGACGACTAGTTTTGATTCTTATCGATTTCTTATTCGATTATTTTTCGGCTCGGGATCCGGCGCCACGCAATACAGTGGAATAATTAGATCATTTGAACAACTCATCGATCAATTATTGACCTCCGAATAATCCGTAATTATTGATTCTAGGCCTCGAAGAAGCAGACGATACCCCAATTCCCTTGAAATCGCGGAAAGTCCGACCAGTGGTCGATGAAGAAGAAAAACCTTCGAAGACCGGACGCAAGAATCCTGCTCCGCAACGCATCGTTCGTGAACAGGAAGAAGAACCAGTGTCTTACTTGAACGGTTCAGACGGCGAAACAGAGGCATCCATGTCTCCCTTAGACTTCAGTACGCGTAATTAGAATTCTCCCGTTATTAGGACACAAGATTCGGCTCCAAGACCGCTCGTCGTGACCCGTTGTAGAGGACAAGCAGCGTTCCACGACAAGGGCCGCGAACTCTAGCGCGTCTTCTCCAATGATACGCCGTCGCGATGCGATGCGTCCATCGCTGCCTTCGTAGAACTCCTTCGTTTGCAAACGACAAGTGCATCAATAGAGCAGATTAGCCACCTATTCGTGTAGATGAGCCGCTGTGTTGACTACCGACGCCGTGTAAATAGTTCATTGCAAGGCAAGTCAGTCATTTTGCGCAAGTGCAGTTTATAACATGACAGTAGAGTTTTTTCAAAGAGATCCAGCTGCCCTACGTCCTAGTTGCACCCAGAAGAGCGTTTGCTCTGTCTATCGAGGGGATTGAGTCGTTGACACAGAGTTGACAAGGGGACGGACGGATCGATCGGTGGGTCATGGTTAGATAGACCCATAGTCTAACTAATTCATTACGCCTTTGGTTTGATGAGGAGTTATTCGATTCTATAAATCCGCATTCAAACAGCGAGCCGATTGGTCGTTCGGAGAAACTCCTGATCATTCTTCCCTGACCATTGGGGAGATCGGCCAGCGGACACGTTGATCGGGCTCTCGCAGCCGGGTTACACATCCAGTCGAGCTCACACGCTTGATTCGCTGATCGAAGATAAACATACCCATAGAATGGTTCGACATTGTACGTTATTTAGTTCGAAACTAGTACCATATTACTTGGGAGAGCGGAGGTTTGACTACGATGGGAACACGGCATGAATTGCGTCCGGTGCAATACGTGGGATCTTGCCCAATCGTCATCTTTATGCAATTACAATAAATGAGTTGAACTATGGAAGCAAAGAGCTTGTTGATCTATGTTGGTAAGCGTGGATGATACCCCTCAAACTAGGAAAACAGCTCGCACAGCTCCGGCACCTCATACGGTCGGAGAGTCGCTCGGTACCACGAAAAATGGAACGACCTCGCATCGTAGAGACCATTCGGATCCTCAGTCAAATGATGTGAAGCAAGAAATTCCAGCGCTCTGAAAAGAAAACGCCTAAATTCATTCATCCATGTCTCTTCCGGCTCTGAATTCTAGACGGCTCTGAACGGCACCGAATGATCCATGACCGGCGATACAGCTTCGACGGAGATCCGGCTCCGACCTCCTCCGACGACGGTGACGTGCATCGCTCGGTCTCTCCCGAGGCTGTAATTTCATTCGGGAAAGCCAAAGAGTTCGTCATCGAAGAGCCTGGGCTACCACTCCGATACTCGGACTCACCATGCCGAGAATAGGTCCGACAAGAGACATTTGTAGGGGAAAGCAGAACATCATTACGTCGCGACGAATCAAAGGAGGGAAGCTCTGAACCTTCGGTCGTACCGCCCCCGGTCCGGAGAGCATTGATGCTCTCCTATAAAAACGGACTGTCCACCGGCGACCGCAGTGCAGCCGCATTGTCTACCGCGATGCGTTTTCCCTTACTTTTGGTCAGCGCCCTGGTTATCGCCTTATTTTTCGACTTCACTCAGTGCCAGGAGGTGAGTGCGCTGGGAAGAGAGGTGTCCTTCGGCAGAGAGCCGACCACAGAATTTCCGAGCTGTCTCAAAAAACAGGTAAATTTCCAGGCGACCGAGAATATGGGCCGCTTCTACCTGGTGCCGAACGAGAACCTCGCGCCGAACGGGAGACTCCCGCGTGGAGATTATCCCTCGAGATCCGCGACAGTGAATGGAGATAAAAGAGGCGATTTGGACTCCCTAAGTGGAATGGCCTTCGGACGCTGAGCCGGACAATGTCCCTGATCTGGAAAATGTTGATTTTCGTCGTCAGAAGATCGACAGCCATCTGCATATCGAAGACACCTATCGTGATTCGCATGACCGGAGTGTGAGACGGCTCGAAAACAGAATAAACTGCATTAAAAACTAGTCTTCTTCCCTGAGATTATTCGTCCAGGTGTTGATGGATTCTCCGCTATGGAATCAGCGAGCGACATTGTTTATACTATCACTTTTCTGACGGGCTATCAACGAAGCTTTGTTTTAAACAGAAGCTCGCGCATCGCTCGTTCGCCTGTCTCTCACGCATTAAGCTCGGTGACCGATTCGGTTTCTGTCGTATCGCCCGAGAGATCTATCGGTGGTCGCCGCTCTCAAAGAGGAAGATTCCGGCGGCGGTCGTGACTCGACGACATGGGCTCGGACTGACCGAGTTGATAGACTCGCAAGGGAATGATGAACCGCGCCAGCCACGTGACCGGGAAGGCGACTTCAAGCCGGATCTTTCTCTGCTCTGATCTTTGTCCGCAGAGATGAAGAATCATTAGGAAACAATAAGCAGAAATTCTGCTCGTGTTTTTCCCCGAAAGCGAAAGCATCAAGATTGGGCAACTGGTTCAGTTGACGTTTAATCCTATTTTTTCTCAAATCCGGATTCTTTCTTCGTTGTATCAGGAAAGAGTTCACCTCAGCGTCATCGCACTTCCTCGGAGAAAACAAAGAACTCGCGTACTCGTTCAGAACATTCAGCTAAGTGATGTAAGGCGCTCGCCGCGCTAAGGAGAGAAAGCCCTAAATTTCCGCCAAGCAATTTTCATCGATGGCAAGGATCCCGCCTCCGGAGAAAGAAAATTAAGATGAGAGCGAAAGTTCTGCTACTTCCACCGCACCGGCGGTGAGATTCCTCTCACTCAGTGAGACTGTCCCTATTGCTCGATTTCTGATTTGTTGTCGTTGATCAGGCGATATCGACAGTGCTCGGGCTGCCGACGCTCAATTCCGGGACTCGGAAAGACTCGAAGACACTGATCTTGAGCGTGATGACATTGATGAGAATCACGAGAAACAAGACTCGGAAGAACTCCCGACTCAGTCCGAAGAAAAACTCACTCTCCAGTCCTCTAATCGGTGAAAGGTTCTTCAATCCCCGGAAATGACTCGAGAAGGACCGGGATCAGGCTCGACATGTCATCGGCTCTGTCGCTCTCATCGAAAGAAGATTCGATTCATAATGTCGTCGGGTTTTCACACCCGGCCATTCATACGTCAGTGGAGCTTTATTTCGTCTCAATCGGTTGCCACTCGATCTCGTTTGGAGTATCCGAGTGCCATACGTCAGAAGCTCATAAATACATCTATTTCGGAAATCATGATTCTCCATTCTGTTCGAGCCTAGAGCTGTTTCTTGGGCTCTGTCGCGGGCGGGGTGATCGCCGCAAGTACTTGTTCTCGCTCCTCCCGCCGACGAGTCAGATAGGTCTTCACGTAGAAATTCAAGAACAGGCCGAGAATCAGAATGACCTGACTCGTGGCAAAATACACCAAGTATCTTGGAAATCCACAGTCGTAAACTAGGGGTATGCTCATGTGGAAAATCGCGAAAATGAATTGCCCGATCTGGAGCTGCGTGAGATATTTTTTCCACCAAAGGTACTTCCTGAGTGCGGGGAATGTCGCCATGAAGTAGTACCCATACATGATGACGTGAATCGATGCGTTGATGAACAGTCCCAGTCCCGGCTGGCCTTCGGGTGCGAAGCCGAAGAAGAACGAGGCGTTGAACGCTACGATCGTGTGATGTATGACGTGTAAATTGCTCACATGGCTGAATTTCTTCTTCAGGATGAAGAAGAACGTGTCGAAGAAGTCGAGGTACCGCACGAAGATGTAATAGAAGCCCGAACGGATGAGGAGGCGGCTCGCGTAGTCGTCGCGTCCTGTGATGCCCTGGCAGAAGAGCGAGTAGGACCCATTGCCGTAGGTCAGCGGGAAACATATCGCGATGAAGGCCACGTTCGCGATCACCATGAACAAGTTGTGGACCCGCATAACCCATCGGAGATCCATCGGCTTCCGGTCTTCCATCCAACGCTCACCATTCCGAACGATGTAAAGATAGGTTGCGATAACGGTACTGACGAACACCGGGTTCGTGACAAGCGGGTAGCCGTAGGTCCGCGGGTCCTGCTTGAGTCCATAGCTCTGCCAAATGCCGGAAATCGATTCCATCGTCGGTCGTTTGGGGACGCCGTGAGAACGTTGCCGTAGAGCGATCGGAGCCCGGTTTCAAGCAACACGCTCGCTGTCACAGCTTCCGATTATCCGCTCGGGATTCGGAAGTGTCGAGTGTTTGTGAAAAGCAAAGATGGGTGTTGTGATGTTTTATAGCGAGGACTGCAGTCGGCAAGGGCAGCTTCGTGTGAATCGCGAGCAAAATGGAACTGAGCGAACTCTTAAAGAAGGAAAATCCGTCTGAGTGACAGCAGCGGGCCGGCGACCGCGGCCGATGCGAAAAGATCACGACACGAGCTACCAATTAACGATGGCTCGTCATATCGCCGATTCCAGAGAGCTCTCCACCGATAAACAGTCCACGCCGGTAAGTTCTCGATGGTAAAATTCGGAAAAACAGAGAAAATCCCCCGGATGACCGGCGCTCTCCCGGACTCGATGACAGATCGATCATGCACTCCCTGGTAGGAGATGGGAAATAGAACTCGGTTGGAAACACTTTTCTAGAGCACGGTCAGTTTCGCCAAATTCGTTCGTTGCCCCGGGAACGATCCCGATCGTTGAGCCGAAAGCACGTGTCACACCTGGGAGAGGATTCGAATACACTCTGTTCACGCTCGTGGGCCTGGAATAGGTCCGAGAATCTTCTGGACTCCGCCTTGTTCCACAATCGCGGTGGCCGAGCAAAGACTCAGATTCGCATTACGGTCATTGAGCAGAGCGTGTTTCGGGTCCTAATAAGAGCTTTTTGAACGAGGAAAAACGTCCACGCCTCTCAGGCTGAGCCGCTTCTTAATAATCACACAGAATATCCATCCCAAAACTTAGAGGAAACACTCTGAAATCTTCCGCTTCGGATTTCGCTGCGTCGGTTGTACAATAGCGATGTATTTATGCTGAGGACGTCCACGGATTCTTCGTTGAACCGGCTTGTGTCTACGGACTGATTGATTCTGATAGCATTATATGTTATTATTCGCTGTCTGCCGAAAATTCCGCGAGCGATCGGTTTTTGAGGAGGGGGCGAATGGGCGCGCATCGCACAATGATGTCCATGACGGAGAACCGGACAGCCTGAATGCTTGCTTTCAAATGTCTGGGGAAACTCCGGGATTCCTTTGCTTCATGCGTCGACGATCGATCGAAGTATTATCCTCCTCAGTCGGAGTATGGTAACCCCTCCAATTGTCGAACTAGACCAGAGTGAAATTCGTTGGTAGATGGAAAAAGTTCGAAGGTGGGGAAAGTTCCCAAAGCGGCACGATTTCACCAGTGGAGAAACTAGAGTTCAGGCACTGACACTCGGGCGCGGGATCGAAGAGACACTCGGGCGGAGGTTCCACAAGACTGTGATTCATTTGGACAGATTAAGGTGTTCTTATTCAAATGTCTCGTAGAGAGAAAGGGAAAAGCCAATAGCGTACCTCGTATATCTAAAGGCTCTTCACTAGTTGATGAGAGCGCACCCTTGTACACTTTATGACCCCGGGTTTCATCTTGTCCGGCGCCTACGACGAAGCCGCAGCAGCAAGCGGTATCCAGCCGCTCCGATTCCATTCGCCGTAAACTGAAGGCGGTCCGGGCCCAATCTAGATCTAGATGCTGACGGAGACGGGAGTTCCAAGTTCTGCGGTCAGTCAGACTCTCTTCTATCTAGGTGTATGCGGAGCGATCGAGGGATGTCGGGTGTCTCACCACCCGCGGCTTTCCTCCGATCTCTCGAAGGTCTTCCGAGAGGAGCTGTGTCCGTCATCAGGTAGGCTCTAACAATAAGTTAGCGCCATCAGACGTACATGCTCAACAGAACTCGTTAATATTTCTGCATGTCCGCCGACTGGTGAAACGAAAGAGTAAGCCGCGGTTTCGTGTTCGTCGAGACTTCCTCGGACGACGCGGCGAGCATCCTACAGCGAGGCGAATGTGGGGATGACATGAATTCAGATAGGGCCAGGACGGTTCTTAAGCAATCGAGAAGGTGCATCGTCATCGAAATTCTCCCTTGCGACTAGCAGATGAAAGAGAGAGCGATATATGCTTCCACAAGACGGGGTGTTGTGCGCGATCTACATACAAGGTGGGGCAGTATATTCTCCCCATTTTGTTTTGCTCATGGAATCCGAACCATGAGGGCTAGCGAAGTTCTGTTTGCGGCAAAATGTTCAGGAGGGCTCGCCCTCTCAGGAAAAAATGCCTCTGAATCGATATCTCGAAGCTGGAGATCAAGAATCAGCGGGAAAGCGAGGAGCATGGGTTTCCCCGCAGAAATCAATACCGAGCTTTATGAGAATGACGTTAGCTGAACTTCAAAAAGTCAACTTTGAACGTCCACCTGGTGAGGAGTCTCGTACCAGAGGATATTTTTCTGAAACTGCAAGTCCTCGTGGTCATTCTACTGCAAGCAGGATTCCGCTAGCCGCCTCGGTTCGGATTCCATGGGGATCATAAAAATGGGGAATCTATGCTGCCCCACCCTGTACTACTCGAGTTTACATATATGTAACCTCGAGTTCTTTCGATTGTTTGAGGTGGTTTGCAGCGATACCAAGAAACTCTGGAGACAGCTCGTCCGCTGCCGACCTCTACCGCCCCCGTCGCTCGTATCTGACGAGAAGATCGACACTTGAACATACTTCGAAGAGGCTCTCTCCAAATCCGCCGTGAATGGTCTCAAGGTACCAACTCTACAATCCGATGTGTTGGCGGAGAGAAGTTAACTCGACTCACTCAGTCAGTAAAATCTCAAATCTGGTCAGTCAATGACTTCTAGTTATTCTAGTCTCAGACGTAGTCCCAAGCCTCTGGTGTCCTACCCGTGGGAAAATGCCCAGGATCGTTCCGCTGATGGCTGATGTTCTCGAGATCGTCTGGCATTATTGTCGCCAATAGCGGGACAAGCGATAATTGATAATCGTCGAGCATATATATCATACTTTATTCTTCTAGATTAACGAAAGGGTCTAGATTTCAAAGATATGTGACGGACTAGCCGTCTTGAAGCCGCAACCGTAAGGAATGGTACCCAACACAGCCGCCGCATTGCCTCGCTGCACATCCAACGAGAGTCTCTGTTAGAGGAATGCTCTCCCACTTCTGTCAGCCGAGGCTTTGATCAAGAGTTCTGATACATTCGTGATGCTTCGTGAGCGGCCTCGGTCCGCCTAGGATCTCGAAAGCCGATGGGGAGGAAACGTGTCGCCTCTGAATATCGCTATCGAAGCTATCGAGTTGGAATGAAATCTTCGTCGTTTGCAGCCTCGGAACGAGTCGTCGGTGCACTGATTCAGCCACTTCGGATTGATTTTGACATTTCACATGGAATATACCCATGAATGTTCGCAGACTCACCACCCTGGCTCCTGTACCCTCACTAGGAACGAATGAGGAAGGAATTCCGATTCGAAGCATTCTCCATATTCGTATGAGCTTGGAGCTCGGTTCAGAATTGTTCCCTCGTGACGGCGAGAAGCCCACGATTGCTGAGTGGGCCAATTGCGAAGCTGGGATTGTGTGGCCAATTCTGCGCGCTATCTGCTGTGGGATATTAGCTGAGGATAGCGGGATGATGTCTAGCTTACAGCTGAGACTCAGAACAACGGATGAAGATGCCGAGATGAGTCAACAGTCTTCGGTAATCTATCAATCGAGAACGATTATCCCGGAGGTGAATCAGCAGATGAGCCGGTTAACGGAACCGATGTGATCTTTTTATAGATGGATTCTCGCCATGCGACACGACTCACATTTTCAGAGTCCTCATGGGAAGCTACAAGGACGGAGACTCCACAGGCGATTGACTCGGCGACACCCACGAAGACGACGCCCGCCCAAACAACCGCGCCAGAGCTTCGTGACTCGTTTACGCCGCCAGCGCCGATTCTAAAAGTGAGAGGAGCTCCCATTAGAAAGGCAGAACCTAATTTATTCGATCGCCAGTGTGGCCCGTGAGGACGGTCGAGCCCCGGGTCATATTCGAGAGCCATCTCTCCTCGATGATAGCCGAAACATGGGTTCAATTTTGAGGAAGAGTCCGAGACATAGTATTATCGGCATCAAGGAGCTTTTGTACGCGCCCGAGGGATGGACGAGTCCCGTAATCGAGATCCAGTCTCTCTTTTCAGTCACAATCCGCGTCGAAATCTTCGAAGTCCGCAGATAAGGCCCGAATAAATGAGACGCTCAACGAGTCGAATAGCATAAGCGTCGAAGGGATGCCCCGGTCCTTCTTCGTAAAACCCCCGCGGGAAGAGCGTCAGCAGCTGAGGAAACTTGCCTATGACTCCCGTTCGGAGCAAGCTCTGAAAGAAGGAGCTTTGATATCGAGCCCGAAGAGGTGGTGTTTTTTGAGACAGGTGGGTGAGGAGGGCTGACCCTTTCCCCTCGTTGGTGAATGCGCCCGGTCCGATCGGCTTGAGATTTGAGATTCATGATTTCCTGCCTCATCATGTGCCTCTGCATCGAGTTCTGATTTCGAGCCCGATCCATGAGAGAGCTGTTCTCACGGAAGGAAGTATGAAGGAGATGCGTCGAGATTACAGATGAGCACAATGTAAGCCTCGCGCATTCATTTTATTCTGCAGTCCAAGAGCACTCGACGCAGCACTACAGTCTGCCCCCTCCTATGATAAACCGCTGATTCGAGACTTCACCTCGAGCATCCCCTCGGGAGGTCGGACAGAGCATATTCCAATCGATGGTACTCCGAATAAAGTTCGAATATTCTGATCTCGAAGATCCCGAGCCTGATTTGGGGGCTTGCGGAACCTTCAGGAGAGGTCCGATAGGTTTTCTCTGCCATGGATCATGAATCAGGACTCAGGACTTTTCCATGAAGCATTCGACTTATTTCCTACTTTCAACGCATGATTGACAGTCCCCCTATAGACTTTCCCCGGATACGTTCCTATGTCAGGAGACGCGATCCCGTCATTCTGAGAGGGTAGATTGCTATCCGGGAATACCTGAGCCGGTGATGAAACGAAAAGGCTGCTTTCGACGGAAAGGATTGGTAACAGCTATGCGGTTTTCTTTATTCGGACAATGTTGACGCGTTCAGGCGAAAGCCTTCGATTTGTCACTCTATCGTGAATATCCTCAAGCGAAGCGATCCCAGTCCTCACTCTACGCCTCATACCACTTGAAATCAACGATTTGTAAGTTGAGGCGAAGGAATCACTCCGTTGGTGGACGCAAGTTGCTAACGCGGACGCAGCTCGTGAAGACATGTTGGAGAGGCAAAGGCATGGTTCAGACTCATCTGATGTTGCAGAAGACAGAAGCGCGCATTCGCAGCGATTACGATCAAGCTTTTACCTCCGACGACCAAAGGCCATTCCGCTGAGAGAGTCGAGGCCCCCTCGCTTACCTCCGTGGACCATGCTTCCTCCTACCGGAGAGTAATCACTGCGGAGCAGCCCGGCGCCATTGGGGAGGTTCCCATTCGGAACGAGATACAATCGACCGACCTCCGTTGCCTGGAAAAGAACGTAGCCTTCGAATATCGCTCCACAGTGCGCGGATCGAGTCTACATGGGAACCACTCACCCTTTGAGCATTAGCTGTTGAAGCAAAAGCAGCAACTGCAAGAAGAGCACACAGGCACAGAAAAGCGGTTCGCATGGTGAAAGAAGCTTGAGGCGCTAAGATTCGGCGAGAAGTGATCTCTGATCTCACAGACATCATGCCTTATATACCGCTGCGAACATGCGCTTCCTCCTGAGGGTGAGTCGTATCCGGCCGCCCTACTACGTCTTCATTCGGAAGGCGCGTCCTGAGCCTCCGAACGGTTCGTGGCACCCTCCGACGCTCTCGTCCGAGGTCGCGCGTAACCACATTGTCCGGTAAGTTCATCAAGGATATCAGTGACAGAGAGCTCCATCCGGTCGAGAAAAGTCGCTAGGACAAAGGCGTAGATGTTTTTAGAGAGGACACGTACGGAGACGCTAACCGAGCGCGGAAACAACGTCTTACTCTCGGAGTAGTCTGCAATTACCGTGGGCGTACAAACAGGAAGTCCCTGGCGACGCTGCCCTTCGCGAAGCCGGAGTTGGAGTCCGAGGTTAGATCTGCCGATCCGCCGGGGTTGGCATAAACATAAATTGGCATCTATCGCTTTTAAGAATCTTCCGGCTATTTTTTTTGCATAATTCTTCGGCGAGGTCCTCAGTCCCCTCAACATGAGGAATTCGAAGTTCTGTCAAGAACCTCTCGGTTTCTGTCACGAATCAGCTATCCCACGTCATTGTATTTTCATCTGTCTCATGCAATATCCAAGTCGCCTGCCCAGGTAAGCGAGCGCCGGCTTGCGGTCCCGAATAAGCGACCTCTACCGTCATGCGGATGTCAGCCCGTCGCTCCGGAGCTCTTCTGCGTAGCCTTCGAGCTGTAAGGGATTGGAGCGGCGCCCGATACGATCCGATTCCTGTCTTCGCTCTCGGCTGAATCATCTGACGACGTGACGACTGCAACACATGGCTCTCGGCACACATTCCAGCTAGATTACGACTCTTAAGCGAGTCGCCTCTAAGATTTTCTCATTCCCTCCGTCATCATGTCCTCCTTCCTTCATTCCGCGAAGCTCTGAGCTTGCAGCCGACCAGGATCTCCTGATGTCTCCGAAATACCTCCCGTTCCCGGGCCGGGCGATCGCCACATACTTGAAAACGTCTGCGTGTCGAATTATGTATCATTCGATTCCCTGTTCGTTCGAGCAGCAAGCTCAAGCGTCGCCTCTTTCCCTGAGGAATCGGGGAATTCGCGCCAGCGCCCGGAGGAAGCACAACGCATAAGTACCAAGCATAATTATGGGGGTTGTTCAATCTTGAACATTTCGAGAGACGAAAATTTAGCGCAACGAACGCCTGTCGACCCTCCTCCGCTAGCGGATTGGATAATATATCTCTCTCTAAGAAGCGGGAGACACGGTGAAGCATCGCACAGTTTTCAATGATCGAACCGCCGGTCGGTGCTTCCCAGTTTTTTTCCCGGCTCCTAGTTTCTCCGTCACGGCAGTCTTCCTTCCGCGCGATCGCTCCAGCCGAGCGGAAGCGCTCGCGCTTTAGCGCGCTCACTGCTCAGTTTTTAGCGGCGATCTGTGTTCTGCTCCTGATATTCTAAATGGGCGCAGCATTCGGTTCTAGGACTTCGGGCATCATGGCAGAAGCTGCAGCTGCGTTCGTGAATCAGAAGATCACTGCCTCGCCTCTCGTGGTCTTCTCGAAGACCACCTGTCCATACTGTGATAAGGCCAAAAGGATCCTCGAGAAATATAAGGTGAGGACTTGGAGGGGAGTCTTGAATCAAGGAAATACTCTGACGGCGTCCGCGCTGGGCTCGAAAATTGTCGCCCTACCGGCCACATTTGCTGCATCGGTCACAAGATCCGAAAGCAGGCCCCTTCGATTGTACGCCGTAATTTTCGTAATGTCGTAGGTACTTACGCTTCAGATACCGTACAAGGGTCCCCATCTCAACTCTCCGGGGAACCTCTGCACGGAACACGGGGGCTGAGACGGAACAGAAACGGAACCTGTTGATGTTGGAGGGAAGGGAAGTGCCTCGATAAGCTTCGCTAGAAGTTTGAGCGCGATCGGGCGGTGCCCCCTTTTTTCAGAAGGATCGGTTTCTTCGACTTATCGACCCAAACGAATGACGGTGCGATGACGTACAAGCGTACAGGCCGAATTCCATGTCTATATGATTGATTGATTTATTAAGCATGGTCAGCGCGACAATCGTCAGTGATCTATTGTGATTCGATCCGTCTGATCGAATCCGCGTGCCTGGAAACTCCTCGGTGGAATCTCTCTTCAGAGGTAGAATTAGTGTTCTATGATTTTGCTTCGTAATCGAAGCTCTGAATTCTGGGTGTAGTCAGTCGTGCGCTTTCGGGGTCGGTGACGTCTCGTCGAATTAGTCGGAGATCTGCTGCGAAATTTCGTTGCTCAGACACAACATTGCCGGAATACCGCGTATTTTGAGTCCCATTGTTGATCGTTTCTCCAGCGGAACCATTAGATACGCCTCCCTGAATTTCACCATCCATGACGATCGATTCGCGAATCCAGTGATGCTGAACCCGTGGCCTAGCTCCCGAATCTCTCTTCCGCTGGCGGTCAATCTTAATGTATGGAAGGATATTTGAATCTTCGAATACATTCCCAGGCACAGTATGACCTCATCGAATTGAATCAACGAGAAGATGGGCAAGCGATTCAGGACGTGCTGAAGGGCATCACAGGAGCGCGATCTGTGCCCAGAGTCTTCATCGGTGGAAAGTGCATCGGTGGCGGAGACGATACGGCGCGTCTAGACTCTGAGGGCAAGCTAGAATCACTCCTCAAAGAAGCCGGCGTGAAAATGGCATGAGTTACTAGAGCTATCCTCTGGGTTATTGGTCATTGCGTTTGGGCTCATTCCCCGGTCGGATCACATCCCAGGGAGTCTCTCCTCCGGATTGATGCGTACTCGCCGTACAGAGAATAAAACTCTCCGAAATGATCGAACTTATTTCTTTTCTAGGTATCTATGTTGTGAGCCGGAACAGGAATTCAAATTACAGAGCCGTGAATAAATTTTGAGCTCGACAATTCTTCTCTGCGGAAATTCTTCTCCGAACCGCGCGCTTCGAGTAGTTTTTGATCCCTTCTCGAACATGAACGCAACCTGCTTCGTTCCGCAAGCTTCTTCGCAACCTTCGGAAAGTTCCGAACGTCAATCTAGGTGCGAGGAAAAGTACCCCTGGAGCGGGAGATCAGTCTCCCCGAGGAGATTTTCCTGGAGCGGTCCTCCCTCGTTTCCAGGCCGCACCCGCACAGGGAAGCAACCTCAGTGTACTCTCGTGGCATCTATCAGCTGTTCGCAGAAGTATTGTCTCGCTCAATTTTCCCGCCCGCGTCAGAGAACGCGGAGGACCGAGGAATGGGTGAAGTCACGAAGGATGACGTCACATGTTCAGTTTCAGAGAGACTTTATTCACAGACACAACGATTTTTTTCTAAGTAAGGAAAGAGCCCATGTACATCTTTACCTCGTTCCACGATAATCTTACAACACGCTCGCGCTGATCGAAGGACACTCATTGAAACATAGTTTCTACACAATATCTATGGAAGCTGGAGCGCAATTAAGTTCTTACCTCTGATAAGATTGGGGATACGAGCGGAAGAGTATCTACAAGTCATCGAGCTGCAGCTGAATGGGTTCGGTCAATGTTCTGATCGATGTATTTTACAATGGGAGGGGGAATTCCTTTTTGGGCATCGAAGAAGATGAATGATTGCATCGACGTGCTCATTGTAATGGCCTAGAGTGGGACTCCAGGTACCGACCAGTACGGGTCAGTTGAAAAACACTCTTTGAGAGTCGTCGTCATGTGACACATCGATAGCTTGATTGTTTGAGCGATAGAGTCTGTGGGTGTCGATGACTTTAGAAACGGACATGATACGGGAACCTCTCGAGTCATATATTCTCCGAGTCCCGTCTGTGGACGAGGACTCCAGATGATAAGGTAGGCTTGAATCAGAGAAGATCAGCTGTGCGAGAAATGTAAGAAGATCAGCTAAAAAACGGCACATTGGAGGAATCTGACGATAGTTGCGCTTCTCACGAGTTGTTCGGTAGAAATTCCCAGCCCTATAACCTCTTCAGATTAAAGAAAATCACAGCGTGCCGTTCAAAAGAGTCGCTGTGATGTCCATCCTCATGCGCTTTGCTTTCGAATCTTTCTTGGCCACAACCTGTTTCTGCAAAGCGCGACATTTCTCCTGCGGGAAAAGTAGAATTTGAGACCAGATCCCATACCATGGTAAATTCGAGAATATCGCTCTTTCTCGCCCCATATGCGGACTTTCGGGATGCGAGATGGGAATAGAGAATAACGCACCTGCATCTCGGCCATCTGCTCTCCATGCCGCTTCACGGCGTCCTGAAACTTGGATCTCGCGTCCCGGTCGACTTTACCCATGTCGGCCTTCAGTTCGCAGATGATTCGGTCCTTCGCTATTAGAAGTTTTTCTTTTTCGGCGAGAGATTTTTGAAGTGTGAGTACCTGGTCATTGAGCTTCGTCAGAGCCACCACATGATCCGAGGAAGTAGGATCCGGGAAGACGATCGGCTTCGATGTTTTGACCTCTTTGACTTCATCGTCGACGTGAACCTGAGCGAGCGAGATGGACGTCAGTCGGACACAATATTTTCTAGACTCCTACGGCTGGGGACCTATTCTCGGAAGATCGACACGCGTGCCTGGTTCGCGGGATGCCCGACTACTTCGCATGCGATAACGAGCAGGTATTCAGAAATGACCTTGCGCTCACCTTAGTCACATCTGGTCGGAGTTTCCGATCTCGGTGGAAATCGGGTTTCTTCTCCTTGCGTTTGTTCTCCGGAAGGAGGTTCGCAGTCGGTGGTGCGGTCGGACTACTGCGCGATGAACTGGCTCTCAACCTGAAGGTACGACAAAAATTATTGGATCCCCTCAGAGGAGCGACAGAAAACATAAGAACCGCCGAGAACTTCAGTTTCCCGAGAAAGTCGATTGTTTCCCGAACCGGGGAAGTTATCCTTACCGGGACGGATCCGAGATACGCGCTTTCGCTAGAGTCCTCTTCAAGGAAACAGTGCACAGCCAGCAGAGCATTTTTCCCTCTCGTTTCTGTGTCTCCGAATCTTTGCGGTCGAAGGCGCTCTTCTGTTTACATTGCTCGCATGTGATCGGTGCTCCATATTTCTTCTCTGAGTTAGTGCATCTGAGGAAGAAGCAGAATCGTATATCAGTGAAAAAATATCGAGATCGGAGAAAGAATCGCAAAGCCGAGCGACCGGACCGCGAAGCTCAGAGCCTCGGTCAGCCATACAACACCGATGTAAGTTGTACTCCGGATCGCTTTGCGAGAGGAACTCACCGCTGGCATTTGGTTCCGATGAAAGCTGCAACCAGGTTGCAGTAATCGCATGATCTCGGTTTTCCAAATTGACGGACGTTATTCTCGCACTTTTTACAGATGGATGTTTTCCTGTGATGAAGCAACAAGTAAAGTTGGCCATTGAGCGAGTGCATTCAAATATTCACGCGATCATTCATCGGCGTGAAAACGATCCTCTGACCCGCATTGAGTCCTGATTACGGATCCTCAAAAATCCCGAGCATCCATCTCGCGAAACAAAGCCGATCAGGGATCTCGTTGCGGATAGATCGATTTTCAAAAGCTGATTGTCGTCATTCTCGGAGCACATCAAACCCCGAATTCCGTTCTCATTTGTCACCACACTCTCAGACTAATACAAGCGGTCGTGAGAATCGCAGGAGCATCCATGAATAAACAGAACTTTGAGTCCAGCAGCTCCTCCCGCCGCCCTCTTCTCCGTCGAATTAGGGCTTCGGATTACTCCTCGGATTTCGAGAAGATATGCTCAATAATTCGGTATTCGGCAGCTTTCGAACGCTTATTTTGCTCGAGTGGCTCTCGGACCACCAGACTCGAAGTTTTCGGGGAGAATCGATCCGCTTCGGGCCAGAGAGGGTGAAAACACAAATTCAAATTCAGTCTCAGTGCTTGACTCATGAGGAAACTCACCCTTCTGGATGGAAGTCAGCGCGACAGTATGTACACTTGACACTGGCTTGGCGGCAAGTCTGCAAAGAGAGATAATTTGGCATATGGACATGGATATTGCGGATCGCCATATCAGGCATAAGTGAGTATACTTTCCCTGGCATCAACAGCCTGGCCCCAAGGAAACAGCTGGAAACCTCGCCCCCTCCTCCGTCGAGAACATATTTGAATGCATTTACAGTTCCTTGTCATTGGCCAGATGAGACAAACAGCAACCTAAACTGATTCAGACAAGCAGGACGGATCACTTCTTCATCACCTGTACGGTTACCAAATGCGGGAGGGAGGAAATCGAACCTAGACGGCGCTCATACCGAACCCGAGTCGAAGAATGTCGTCAGTCATTCTCGAGACGATTAGAGCAGTGGTACCACGACTGGACCACCTCTTGCACTAGACCGTGTTCAAGATCAAGGTCTGACTCGGAAGTGCGCAGGCAGGTCGCGAGAGCCGCAACACTGAAACAGTACTCCCAATCGTCTCGCAAGAAAAGATAACACCAAATACACCCCATTATACGGGAAGGAACTCCCCACCGGAGTCGATGAGGATTCCACAAAAAGCGACCTCGGCCCCGAGAAACCTCCATCGATCTCCGAGCCTCCGATGGGCTCCCTTCCACCTCCAAGCCGGAACTTGAAAGCCACTCGGTACCTCTCTTCCGCCGGGATTTCAAGCCTGATACACGATGATACTCGATAACCCGATATTCCTGCCCTGGTCTCGCGTCGCAACCGGTTGCTTGACCGCAGTTTCAACCACCGACCGTAAGCAGTATCTAGACCCGATCGGCCGCTTTGAGGATCTCACCGCGTCACAGAATCGTCTCACGGACTTACGACAACGGATTGGAGCGACCGAGTCGTTTGACATCGATATTTTTCCACGAACCACCCCCAAGTTTCAAGCAAGTCTCCGAAGGTGCAGAAGGCGAGTTTCGTCAACAGGAGTTCGAAACCTCGGTCGAGTCCATGAGTGGGAGGTCGCTAGACTACGCAGTGTCAGTGAGCCCTCAAGCTCGGTACCCACCTTGCACAGCTGTTGTCCTTGCGACAGGTCTTCAAACGGATGCCGGGAATTGCACTTGGAGCAGGCAAACAGTGCCGCCGCCGACGACGACGACATCTTGACTTATCGGAAATCTGAGCACACGGGATAATGAATTCGGTGAGGCGCACAACGTTTTTCCGCACGGGTCACAATTTTATCCGGAGTTGGTTTGTTCTCCGATGAACTTCAAGATCTGTCAGGGAAATCTTCGATTCACAAGGATCGCACTGTCAACCGGGTTACTGGCTCAGCTCGTCTGTTGTGTTTTCGCACTCCGTCCGCACAACTGACTTTGTTTAGTAGTCTGGTATTCGGGTACTGTTGTCGATGATCAGACGAAGCCGACGCGGGGCGAGGGGAACACAGCACTTACCAATCAGCGGCTCGAGACGAGTGGTTGGTTTCCGCGCCAAAGTTTGAAAAACCCCATGAGGGTGCTGCTCGATGATCCCGACACAATATGCCATCAAAGGAGTCGAAGGAGCTTCGCGCGGGGATTGGTCTTTGTGATAATCCGCGGGTACGGTGTCCCCGATCACTTCGCGAATCCCCGGGGCGTTCCCAATCGAAAAAGCATGAGACATGACCGTTCCGAGGGCCCGGTCGGACCGAAAAATTCTTCTCTTGGGAATAAAACCAGGGTGAAAGTTCCTCTCATGGAACACGTACCAGTTGTGGAGCTAGGGATATGATATAGTGCTCCCCAACTGGTCACGGTGTTGTCCCATAGGCTTCTATGAGTTGTTCCAAAACTGGCCATCCCCCCCCCCCCCGAATGAGCAGGAAATCAATGGGAATCTCCCCAGGCGTTCCAGAAACGGAAAACGTCACTCGTGTCGCTCGTGTCAGAGTCCTCCGATCTGACATCAATGATGCCATGAGAAGAAGCCTTGTGTGAGTCTCCTCTTGTTGGTATGTCCAGCGGGCTGGTCGAACACATGGCCTTAACTTGCAGACAGCAGAGCGGGAATGTTGAGAAGCCGCAGAGGTGTTGTCCCCGGAATCTGGGAACGAACTTGAACCCCGCTCGGAAGAGAGTCTCGCGTAGGGGGCTTATCGAATCTCTCATGCTTCAGAATCGGAATCTTCGAGGGGAGAGTCCGATTCCGAACTGACTGGAGTTCCGGAGAGACCTCGATTCCGAGAGACTTCTAAAAAATTCGCCTGTGGCGGGAATGGGCACGCGCAATGCTCGATCGTTTCTGATTATTTCCTTTTTCGCCTTATGTTTCGGTGAGGAAGCTATGTCTCGAGAACCGGATTCTTCTCGACCTGCCTCAGCTCGGAGATACGCATGGAAGCCTGTAGCTAAGCCGAAATGCAACACAGACAGGTATAATTGAAAATCAACAATTTTACTTCAACGTAAGATACAAAACACATTTCACAGTTATGCCTCATCTCACAGGACGAACTACTCTTTCTCGCGGACGATTCCGGCCCTCGATCATGGCAGTCAGCCTGGCAGCCTCCGTTCGGAACTTGGGAGCCGAGCTCTATGAACAGATGCTCAAGGGCCTTGGCACGGGGGCGGGGAATGGACTGAGTTGGACCCTTACCCTCTCGACAGCGAAACCGGCAGACTTTCAATCGGAAAATCGACGAACTAAGATTCCTTAGCATAGTCCTTCTTCGCATTCCGGAAATGCGTCCAAACAATACGGAAACAATGATCAGAACATCGTGAGGTGCTGCTGATTCCAGAGATACGCGTAGAAAGACGAAGGTTTTCTCAAGAGACTTTGATGAGTTCCAGACTCGATAAGGGTTCCATCCTTTAGAACAAAAATTTCATCCGCATCCGCAATCGTCGAGAGTCTATGGGCTATGCACAGCGTAGTCTTCCCCGTAGCCGCTCTCCTCAGGGCTTTCATGATTTTCTGTGGATCAAGGAACGATTAATACCCCTTTAGTCGTATAAGGAATGATACCAATCGTATAATACGCAGAATGATCCTCAATGAGTCAATTGCCGATTCTGAGTATCCAGATGGTCGCTCACCTGTTCAGTTATTGAGTCGAGGGAGCTCGTGGCTTCATCGAATACCAAAATTGGGGAATTCTTGAGTATCGCCCGCGCGATGGCTACGCGCTGCTTTTCGCCGCCGGAAAGTTTCAGTCCCCGTTCGCCGACTTGCGTTTCATAACCTTTCGGCCAACCGGTGATGGCATCGTGAATTTCAGCCATCCTAGCGGATTCCTCTACCTCTGCATCGCTCCTCTGTAGATCTCCGTATTGTAGGTTGAAACGGATCGTGTTGTGGAAGAGCACGGCGTCCTGGATTCGGGAGTGATTATTTGATTGTGTAGGAGCCTCGGGAACGGGAAGGCATCCCGCAGATGGAATCTCTACTTTCCATGAAGACAGGAGCAAAATGATACCTGAGGTACAACCGCAATTCCACGACGAAGACTGTCGAGGTTGACGTCTTTGATATCTTGTCCATTAATGAGGATGCGACCGTCGATGGGATCGAAGAATCGATACAGGAGACGCACGGTGGTTGACTTCCTGTAGTAGATAAGAATATTTCAGGTGAACCGCACCGTGAGACATCATTCCTCATAGAAGCCTAGAACCAGAATCCGGAAACGAGCGGGGGATTCCTCACCCGCTCCCGCTGCCGCCAACCAGCGCCACTTTCTTCCCGGTGGGGATCTTGAAGGAAACGTTCCGCAGAATCGGCTGATCTGCGATGTAACCGAAGGTGACATTCTCGAATTCGATGTTGGCTCGTTCTTTGGAGATACTTAGATGGGGTGCGTCCTTGGAACTTTCGATCATCGATTTCATCTCTGTGAGCGCAAACATGGTTTGCATGTCGATGATCGCTTGCCGCACTTCCCGGTACACCGAACCGAGGAAATTCAGCGGTAACGACAATTGGAAGAGGAGTCCATTGACCATGACGAGATCTCCGACAGTCATCGTGCCTGGAGTCAAAACGGAGAAACTTACGTCTTTGATGAGGAGCGCGACATCGCGAAAGGACCGTAAGGCCGTACCCACGCAATGCTCATTTGTCTACCACAATGCTGCGGGATAGAATTAAGCCAGCTGCTCACCGGCTAGGATGGACTCCGAGGCGAGATACATGATAACTGCCAATGAAGTGCTGAAAATCGCGTTCTGTCCGAAGTTGAGCGCCGCGAGCGAAGTCGTCGTCTTCAGAGATGCCTTCTCGTAATCTTTCAGGATTTCGTCGTACATCTTGATTTCGTATTTCTCGTTGTTGAAATACTGGCGAAAGAAATCGAGGCTCCAGATAATTCAGCTTTGTTTGAGTTCCGATTTCTATCCGCGAAGGAATCTCTGTCTGACACGCGCTTCCTGACGTGATCCGGAGAAGCGTACCGGCTGGGACTTAGTGCGCTTGCTCGAGTAATCTCTCATCGGAGAAACTCGACTCACCTTCACAGTTTCATAATTGATCAAAGAATCGACGGCACGAGATCCGGCTTTGTTATCGGCTTTGTTCATGTCAATCCTGAACTGCGTTCTCCACTGTGTCACGAGCAGGGTGAAGGCGGCGTAAGATCCAATGCACCCCAAAGTTACGGCGGCGAATTGACCTCCACACTTGTACCACTGCAAGAAAGGAGATCGATAACTTCTACGATAGGGGACTGAAATATCATAGTTTTCGATTGGAACTCCAGGGGTAAGAAAAACAATGACTTGTTGTCCATTCAGCTCTTTCCTCTCCACACACCAGGATAGTGCTGACGAGCGTGACTTCCAGCAAGGTTGGCGCCACGTTGAAGACCAAGGCGGACAGAACAAAGTTAATGCCCCGGGTTCCGCGATCCATGGCTTTGGACAGTGCTCCAGTCTGACGGCCAACATGGAAACCGAGATCCAAATCATGTAGATGGCTGAAGAGTTTCCTCCCCATTGAACGGATCGAATGTTGAGCGGCTGAGGCGAACACCGCGCTGCGGAGCTCATTCAAGCCGGCAGCTCCAGCCCGCGCCAAACCATCTGAAAGAAAATAGTCAGAGATCGAAATTCAGGAACCGAGATCCGCCGGTCTTGATAGGCCATAACCGGGCGTATTTCGGAGAGAATCTTGCAGGGGGATGTGGTACGTATCGGTCGACTTTTCTCTCATCATCATGGAACTCACATCCGACAACCAATGCGAAGGCGGTCGATGCGACGGCACTGGGCACGCTGTCGAAGTTCAGCTTGTTTCCAGTGTTTTCATTGAGGAAATCGATCAGGTGTTTGAACATGAAGGGCACAGAGATGTTCACTAGTTTAGCGGCTACCAAGAGTCCGAGCGCCAGCTGCAGGATGAAGAGGATTATAGACTGTCGTCATCTGAGGGGATGATTCGTCGACTCGGGAACACGGAGACTGTCCTGGAACTTCATTTCAACGCTCCGTCGAGAAATGACGACCACTCACCGCCACGGTTCTCTTGATATTAGGTTTGTCTTTCGGCCAAATATAGCGAGCCATCTCGGTGATGATTTTCCATCCCGAGATTTTCTGTTCTACACCGAGCTTGGGAGGAATGTAGGAACTGTTGCCAGCGTGGAAATGCTTCGTTACGCGGCCGAGTTGGACGGTTCGAGCCAGTATCTGCAAAAAACAGGGAATCGTTCCTCAGGTCAGACCTGATCGTATCTCTTGCCGGGTTCTTCCGAGAGAGAATCATGCACACGATACGAGCAGGTTAACAAAGGGTCATGTCAGAGTGGGGAGGGGGGATATCGCTTCGCACTCGAGCCCTTCGGAGCTTTGGAGACGGGAGCCAAATTGCGAGTGATTAGGAGAATTCCGTTCGGTACTCGCGCAATCGGTGACACTGCATGAGTATTCCTGATACTAAGATAACTCTGAGCAAGAATAGGAATACGGATCCATGGAACTTTCAGGGTATTCAACGCGTTCGAAACTCTCTAAAGGGGCTTCAAAACCTCTAGTGGTGTATCAATCCGCACAACCATCAAACACTCTCACTCGAAGTGCGATAAGAGGAAGCTTTGGAACTTTCTACGGTACCTTCGATGAACCCTTGCGGATCAGGCATGGCTGCGCGAGAAAAACAACATCAGTGACCGATGTGCAGACACAGAATATGATCAATTCGGAACCTGGCTCGGATCCTTTCTGATATATGATGGACTGACATAAAAGTTACTTGTGAATGATAAACCCCTATATCCAGGGCTTTGTAATCGATTTTCGGCTCCGAAAATGTGATAGGGACTCGATAGTGTCTAGCTCTGAGTCTGGCTAATCTCTTCCCCAAGGCCTTGAATGATGAAAGGTGTTATCCATCGTATGGATAATTTCTGTCCGCAAAGCCAATAAACTTTCCCCCAGGATGCTCCTTTGAGATGGAAAAGAGAGTTGGAAGCAAATTCAGCTATGCAGAAGACTTGTATGATGTAAGTCAAGATCAGAATTTTCCGTGTGCGATTTATCAGCAGAGATGTGCCTCAAGGAGATTCCATTCCTCCAATGAGCGAATATCATAAGTGTAAAAATCTAGGCAGAGCGCTGAGACACCCGTTCTGAGCCAAGATAAGACACTCTAGGACGGCGTTCGAATTGACCCCGACTGTGCTCGAACCTTTGAACGAAATGCAGCGTTCCCGACACCGACTCGAACTGGCTGTACGCAGCATGTAAGCTTCCTTGAGATCACACTGCCCACATGGGGGCCCCTGTAGGGCCCCAAAGAAAGCCCCCGGAGGCTCCCGAGGACCCGCAGAGCTCCCATGCAGGCCGACATCTTTGTTTGTGAGTTTGGCAGACGCGCCAAAATTCAAACAGCTGATCGGGTCTCGTCAGGTCACTGCTTTAACGGAGAGCGGCCCCTGCGCAGAGTGGGTCATAGAAGAAAGCGACCTTGCATCTTCAAGGACCTTCTCCCGCTCGTGAACTCGGGCCCCGTGAATCAAACAGACATTTTCATTTTCGAGGGGAGCTCGGAGACCCGATTCCAGGTGATGTGTTCTTGAAACCTTGGGATGGCAGAGAGAGAGACGCACCGGGAGCGCGCTCTGAAGGCACTCGCTCTTCCGGATACCGTGCCCGAGCCTTGCGAGAGGAATTAACTCGCTTGCCAGTGGCTCTTCTTTTTTTTGTGTATGAGAGCGAAAAGGACCTCGAAATATCGCAGTCGAAGACTCCACGAGGCTACTCCCCACCTAGTCTATCAGAGAAACTCGTGAACAGGGAGTCCGCAAATAACCTCCATTTTGGAGGTTTTGTGCAATATCGCTTCGGAGAACTGAGTAGTTCCACCGATTTACCGCGTGCTAGCTCGGGCCCCGCTTGAGACCATGTCACGTTTACAGTCAGCGTCCAACCTGAGTCGCTCCGCTCTACTTCTGAGCTCTGTAATCAGGATCAGATACGTATATACGAAGAAACTACAGAGATTTGTGTTCTCGACGTGGGAGAAGATATCTCTCCGAGAGCCGATCCCTCGGTGTCGAGCTCTGGCTTCTTCCCCGACGCTCTCCGACTTCCCTAATTTCCAGCGACTTCCTAAATTGAGAACCGGACACACCGAAGAACCCTCCGCGGAGCTTGGCGACGCTTCTCGAACCCCCGACGTCCTCCGCACTTCTGACGTGTTCGAGCGATGTCTGAGATGGAAGAGCCTCTCTGATCTGCTAGACCAGGCTGGGTATAAGATATGACTGGTCGCGAGAAGCAACCCTGCACATGAATAACATTCCAGAGAGAAAAACGTCGATTTCAGTGGAATCGGTCGCGGATGCTCAACGGAGGCCTTCCTGCCCGGACCATGTAGGGAGGATAGAACGGAGCAGAGTCTCCTCGAGAAGGATGGAGGAACGAGAGAGGCCCTAGCTTCAATAGGGTTTCAGGAGTTTATGTAGCAGAGTGTCGACGTCCGATATCTCTCCCTGAGATTCTTCCCTTTGCGTATGGTCCCAGGGAAGCGAGCGATTCCTGCAGTGGCGGAGATGGCGCTCGCAGTGACGGCAGAGCCGGTGGTAAAGCCGGTGGGGTGGTGGCAGTGGTGGAGAACCATTAGTCAGGGTTCCACTAAGCGGGTTTCAAACGATCACAGCTTCTACTCGTAGCTGCTTTTTATGGGGATATTTATAGGGGTCAGGTAGCGAGAGTAAGGCTCAGGACTCACTCAGATAGCTCGCGAGCCCTGCTGGTGTCCGGGATTTCTCTGCGCTGACAAGGTATGTTTTTCTTCGAAAAAACCTAAAGATCCAGAATCCTTCAAGCAAGCAAAATTGAAGGAACGATTCAGCACATTCTCGCCATGGGCCCGAACGGAATCGGCCGCCGCGCGCCTGGCATCCTCGATGTAGGCGAGAGCGACGTGATCGATTCCCGCAGTCGATATATACTCCCCAACAGGCTGAATGGACGCTCGAGATAACAAACGTATTCGGAGAAGTGACGTGGGAATACGGCTCATTTTCCCCATGACAGATCGGCAATACAGGCCAGACGAAGAACTTCCGGAGACGACGCCGACGTTCTGTTCCACGGTCGTTTCTCAGCTACGTCAACGATGCCGTCGTCCGCCTCAGTCGGGGCTCGAGACGATCCCGACAGTCTCGTCGAACAGTCCTACGGAGAACGGGGCTCATTCGGGAGCCTTACGCAATCACGCGTGAGATTGTGGAAGAGGTCATAAATTAACCACTTCTGCGAATCGGTGGCTCGACTGCGCCATCGGTGAAGGCCGCTGGTATTCACTCGGTCGCCCGGTGAGACAGGCGAGTCCCGAGTACACTGAGAGAGTGAGCCATATTTCCCGGGCTCAGCCTTGATCGCGGTCATTTCCGCAGTGATTTCCGTCGTCACCACCTCCGCGGAAAGAACGCTCCATGATAAGCCCTGCCGCTGAATTCGGTTTCGTAATGAAATCTGCCGTTACATTAAATCAGCTCTGCTTTATCATACGCTGTTTTGTAGCTGCGAGGTATCACCACGGCTGATTCATCCCCGAAGACTCTTTCGCCCGCCCGTCCCTGGACCGCCTTGTTCCAACAAGCAGAGATGAAGTGAGATTCCAAGCTCCGATTTTCCTTTCGGTCGAGATTGCCCCGCGCGTGTCAATTCCACGAAGGCAGACAGGATATTTCACACATCGCTTTTTACCCAACGAGAGAATAATCAAATTTTCTCCCGAACGCTAACTGAAGAGATCACGTCAGAATCGAAAGCCCCACGAGCCATTTCGGTTTTCGTACGTAACATCGTCCCGATTTGGGAAATTTTATTCGAGACGTAATGTTCTCAAATTGCGATCATTCGCCCATGGAAAGGTAAGTTGCCCAGTAGATGATGATGAATACGAAAAACGCACTCGGGAACATAATTCTCGATACCTGCAATCCGGATTCGGTTTCAGCCTCGGCATACGGGGGGAAATCAAGATATTCGGTGCTGTCCTCTGCATTCCGATTATTTTAGGATTCCGAAATCTTCAAAGAGTTATTCTTACTTTATCTATGATGTTCGTGTACCTGAAGAGAGTCTGCGCCACGGTCATCCGCCGACCTTTTGGATCCTTGTACTTGTCTGGTTGAGAGTATCGGTTCTGAAATAATCTCCTTGGAATGATGTTTCAGAGCCTCGAGAAGTGAGGGAGAGACAACTTTGTCTTTGCCACTACTTTCGTTTCCCATGGGAATTCCATTCAACGTACCAGAGTGTAGAACTTCTCAACGTTATATGCAATCGGATATTCGAGATTGGCGAGGAAAACCATCAGGAGGCAGATGAACAACCAAACATCGACAGCCTTGAGATAGTCCACCGAGGGAGTGGAATTCCGAGACTGAACGATTTGCGTAACCGTAGTCAGCACGGACGTGACACCGATAGAGGTCCTGGCAGGCGTTGCATTCACGTCCAGCCAGAAAGATCCCCACGACATGATGACCACGATACCGGTAGGAATGTACGTATTGAGGAGACTGAAAGAAATTCTCGCAAATTCTTATTGTGACGGCCTCGGAGAAGACGGATCGATCGCCTATCTACAGGCTTTCATACGGCGAGATCTCAAGTATCGATTCATTTTCGGATCCTTCGATGTGTTGGAAGCGAACGCCATTCGACTTTCCGCCAAACAGGCTCCGCCGGACCGCTCGTGGACAAGAGAAAGTCATGGCTACGAGGAGCATTCTTCTCCCCTCCTTCATAGATAAAAACTTTGAGCGTGGGTAGACATCAATAGAATTTGACGCGATGGCTACAATAGTTTAGCTTTGAGGAGCAACGAAATTCTGAAATGTCGTCGACATCGTCTCCCATCTCTCCCACCGCAAGCAACGCTGCTGTTCCCCGCTGCTGCTGCCAGCTTTCTTGAGGCTTTCGACATGTCATGGAAAAAAAGTTTTGACAGACAACTCAACCATGACGGCAAGATTCGAAGGGTGGGTCACGCCACATTGCATCGCCCTATGGGCCGAGACCACCGACTATTAATGTACGAACGTCTTGCCTAAACGACTGCCCCGAATGAATTATACCTCAGTCGATCAGGCATTTCGCCGACTTCATAAGAGCCCTCCAAAGAGGTGGGTCCGACGTCGTAAGCCTCGACCCTCGACGTGATGGACTCGGTTCCGAGCTCTCGTTTCCCAAATCGTGCTTATTCTTAGAATGATGATTACACCTCGTAGATTCACCAGCTCCGGGAATTTCTCGGGAGCCGAGCGAGTTTTTTCGAAATCAAATCAGCCGAACCTTGCCGTGATCCTCCTTGTGAAAGTGAAGTTTGCGTACAAGTAATCGCATTCGGTGAAAATCCATTGCTCAGTTGTCTTGTGGGGTTTCGGTTGGGCGATGTCGAACTGAAGAGGTGCATTTGTTTCCACGAGACGGAGCGACACGTTGCGATGCGGCGAAATAGGATCGTCCATCCAATGCAGCGTTGCATCGGTCGAAGGCGTGGACACTGGAACCACGTCCTGAAGGTCAGAATATTGGACTTCGTTCGCTAGAATCACCGGATCTCCGAGCGATAGGAGCACCGCTGAATCATTCGCAGCGGTTGAGTTGATCGCCGCAGCGCTCGCGCTCCTCTGATTTGTTCAAAGGTTTAATTTAGTGCTGTTTGAATTCGTTAAGCTTGTCAGAAGATCAAACACAGGCTCGCGGCAAGAGCGAATCGATCATCCTGATGCGGACTGAAGCATAGAGAAGTGGTCGCGAATTTCCCGGAAACTGGGAGATTTCCGACAGCAGGGGACTAGATTACCCATCGCGTATCTCTACGCCAACCGCAGGCATGTACTCACGCAGGCCGACCTTCAAAAAACAGTTCTGCTTGTCCATCGGATATTTCTGGAGCTTCATGAGGCAGTCGACCTGGAAAAGGTATCTATGGAAACCCGTTAGGTGATGCGTCATCGTCGCCGCTCGTCGTAGTCGTTCAAGTCGCTTCTGCCGTCAACTTCGCGGCCACCGTCTCAAACGACCCAGTTCTTGAGGTGAAGCTCATCTTTACGGAGCAGAACGTCAACGGAGGTCGTTTGTAACAGTCACGCGGCAAAGTGGATAGACAGCATAAATTACGGTGGGACGATTCATCACCCCTCTACTGAGGAGGTTTCCCTGCTCCCGCGACACGGCACGTGAAATATGCGCTGGCTCGGCAGCTATGAGAAGGCATCCCTTGGCTCGGATCAGGATCCACAATCTTACGAATAATCGGTTGAGTCGCTGCTTCACCCAAAACCTTCAAGCGACTCGTTATCAGCACAGGATCCTAACGTACCTCGTTGTCCGATATAGGTGTCCATCGTCGAGAATTTTCACGAATTTGTTCGTTACTGATTGCCTGAACAGATAGCCGCTCTTCGAATTGACGAAAATGATGTCGGGCTTCCAGATCCTCGAGTAAATTTCCTCGGGAACAATCCTCACCGAAGAATTGTCGAGGACGGCGTCGAGATTCAGCCTGTCATCTTTCCACATGTCAATTACGAACAGATGAAGACGAAAGCCCTGCCGAGGGAGTTCGTTGACGTTCGGTTCGACCGTTATTTTTCTCAAGACAGATTCCGAACGAGGTTGGATGAGTCTCGGGGACGAACAGGAGAAAAATAGGGAGGACTCTTTCTCTACGATAAGCTTCGAGATGAGCTCCTAGGGGAAATCTGGGAGAGTCACGGGAATCATTCAATGGATACATGCACTGGAAAATTTGTGGGAGCCAGATTCTATGAATATCCGTGACGAGGAGCATGGGAACTCGAGAAATCGCGGTTCTCAACGATCGCGAGAATTTACCCGGGTATAGACGGAGGGTTTGCTCAACGGGGCGAGGTATCTGTGTCGGGGAGGTACGAAGAGGGAGACGAAATTCCTCATGATCAGGATCAGGAGACGGCGAAACAGCGGAACTCCTCGACGACTTACCATTTTACTCTCGGATATTTCATCGATATCCATGATGTGGAAAGCGACGAATATTTTCGCTGCAGAGCCGTCGGCACCCCTCGGTGGATCTGATGAATAATATTCAGACGGGAATATGGACTTGAAGACAGGGTTCAAGGTGAAACTGGTCAGAACAGAGAGGGAGAAAATTCTGTCTTAAAATGATATCAGACGGAAGAGTTGAACTGTCACTTCAAGTCTACTTATAGACCATGAAGATCCTCAACAATCCGCTTGTTTTGTATATATTGCAGGTCCGAGGGCAGCCTTTCCCGAATTTATACGAGGATCCAATATATATCCATGCATGTCTCACAAGACCACCTTGATGACGAATAATAATCGAGCTGCGGATGTCATCCCATGTCGATGTGGAAATCAGAAGATGTCACGTTCATTATCTCCGCAGATCGATGTCGACAGGGACTCGCTCCCCTTCCCAACTCCGCTGGCTTCTCAATCAAGTTTGGGAAGCATGAACGATGACGGATAGCCAAGTAGTCCGCGTGATCTACATATAACATATTCAGTCGCGGGCCCGCGTTAGTCCACTATAAACTAGTTTTTTCAAGATCACTTTTCAGATTATTTCTATAGTATAAGGAATCTGAGTTTTCTTTGATATCATGAGCATCGGGAATCTGTTGCCTGGAACCCTGCCCTTGACCGTTCATCGAGGAAATTAACTCGATTGAAATCAAGAAGAGCTCCCCTGGTCCCGGTCCTCATGGACTAGGATGCCGGGGGCTTATTCTGGGGTCGACTTCGTTTCCTTGTTTTCTTTCTTCCACCTCAGGTGTAACGTTCAAAACGTGTGGAGCGGGTTGAATCAATAAACGCTTTGCTTCAGCGTAGGAGTTGTTCTCTCCGGAGCCTCAAGTCAGCCCTTCTATCTCATCCGGAAAAACTCGGTGGAATCGAAGGCTGTAACTTCTCACACACTTCATCAACTCGAAGTATGCCGCTAGATTTGAAGGAAGCAGCTCCTTCTGTGGTACCGAGGACAGTGGACTCGTGGCCCTGGGGTAGACCATGAAGGTCCGGGTGGTAGCTCACCTCTCGCCGGAGACTGGAGTTGATGAACTCGAAAAAACGACTGAGAACAAAGCACAAACCGGTAGCTGGATCATTTTGCACTACGAAGCTCCAACTGTCTTCCGGAACAATGTTGAAGAACCTCGACTGTAGGATCGTGCGCTCGCTCTACGATATCGGTATATCTCACGGTGGACCTACGATCCGTCAGTCAGTCAGTCACTCAGTCGATCCGTCCATCCGTCCGCCCGTCCGTCGGTCCGTCTCACTTTCGGTCTCTCCGGCCTCGGTCAGCCAGTTCAGTGTCGGAGAATCGGTCGCTTGGTCTGTGTGTCCGTTCTCCCCGAGGTCCCTTACTCAGCCGTCCGGGATCTTACTTCAGAGTCTCTTGGAATGAACGTCAAACTTTCACACGAGGTGAGACGCTCCCGCGGCAGGCGATGAGCCGCGAACGTGATCGGCATGCGAACTTGCCGCCGCTCTACCGACCAACACCCGCTCGACCGACCGACCCGCAGTGTAAAGTTGTCACTCTCGCCGCCAGACGCTTGTCATTTTGTGACCAGAACAATCCGACCATCCGAGGTTGAAGGTTAGGGCGTTCTTAAACTATGTATCCTTTTTTTGTCGAGATTATTCATTCTATAGTTGCCTTGCTCTCTGCGAGCGGCAAGTCGAACGAAGCTTAACGTCTCGTGCTTTATGTAAACGGCGCAATGATTCTACGGAGGATGGGAGCGCGATAAAAATCGGAACATCGACGACGAGCGAGGTGCGGCGTACGTCATAGAGAAAGGAAAGATCCCCATCGGAGACAGCCAGCGACCCGGCGAGAATCGGGTCGAGTCAGGCGAGGTCGGAAATGCTGAGTGAGCGCTCCGTGTTTTCCTGGCAGTCGTCCCTTTCAGAACCAATCGGGTGGATAGCCTCAACCCGAGATGGTCTTCCTCCGATCGGATGGGAGATCCGGTATCGCGTAAGCATTGATTCAATCTAACCCACGCTATCGGCCTCACGAAACGACGTTATTCACTCATCTTCCCGAGTGGCTGGCATCGTTCCTCTCCGAACAAGTTATTGCGCCCGTACTCTTAGGCGAGCGAGCGAGCGGGCAGACGGACAGACAGGCGACCATATTTCTGAGACCTCGCCTCGGAGCGGGATTTCACTTCGACACCATGGTAGCAGCACATACCCCTTCGCGACTTTCTCAAGCCGATCAATTCATCGCGAGCCGTGATAATCCCGCTCGCAAACGAATAGATGATTAACGACTGTTCCCTCTTTCCCGGCTGAGGATCACTAGCTGAGAAGTCCAGAGGAACGATCCTATCGGGAAGAGAATCGGATTAATTCGACGAGGGAGTACCTATCTATACGCCTTATACCAAGCGAGAGGGACAGATTCTCTAGTGTAGGAGTCAGCAGTTCATGGAAGATCTTGAGCTGCCGGAACCTGCGACGGAAATTAGAACTCGTGGCCGCCGGCAACGTCTGCGACTCCAAGGTTAATGACTCGAGAAAGAGCGACTCGCGGAAGTCTAGCGAAACTCCGAGAGTCCCACCGCGCGCTCCAGATCAACTTCAAAGGGATCAAAAGCAGAGCCGTGCTCCGAAGGGTTTTCGACGATGGCGGCGGACGCTGCGGTGATATACGGCGCGGGAGAGGTCGGAGAGTTCACACGTGTCGCGTCTCCGCACTTGAAGAGAATCGAATCCAGTCGGATTATTGCCATCGTCCGATAAATTCGAGATTCGGCAATAAGTCTGGTCCCTCGGTGACTACAAAATTGCAGATTGAGTTTCCTGTTTGGAGTGTTCCGTCTCATCAGTATCCGAATGTCCTGCATTTTCGTGTGCATTCAGTACATTGAACACTGTTTCGAGAACCTTTGCGTATCCTCCTGCCATGATTCACGAAGATTGCGCGCTTCGCTGGGTTACCGCCGCGGCGTCGCGTGTCACACCAAGGTCCCGGCGGCGGAGTTCAGAGGTCGGCGGCGGCGGTTGCCGGCGAATACGAGGCACGGCGCTCTGATCGAGAGTAAGATGTGAAGCTTCGCATGCAGAATTGCGATCAAGTAGATTATTATCCCGGTCTCAATCTCCTGGAGTCGGAATCCGCGCCGCTTCGGATCGGACATCGGGAGCAGCGGTTGGCATCGGGTGTCAATCGGTGCCGTGACGAATCGAATCGCTTCCAAAAAAAAATCGCTGCAAGTCGATTGCAACAAGGAGCGACGCGACGGTCGGAAAGCCATCGCAGTGTGGATTAATATCCTTCTGACCATCTGCACATAGAGGGAGTCAGCGGCCCGGAGCTAATGAGAAAATATTCTATTATCCTAATCCCTCAGATAAAAGCGAGATAAGGCTGCCTACTGACTAGCGCGGAGCAGGGACTCCCGCCCATGGAATAGCGATTCAGGGCGTGAGAAAAGAGAGGAGAGGTGAGGAGCATGAGATTATAATGTCAATCTTCGACCTGAGACCTTCGGTCTCGATCGCACAGTGAGAAGAACTCCCTCGAGGATCGGAAGACTCTCGACCTCGATCTGAGCCGTAGGGAATATTCTTCGTAAGAGGGGAATTCTCGAGCTCAAGCGAGCTCATGTCAGTTCTTTGGAAGGGTAGGTTTTCCATTCCAGCCGAACACTCAATGATGGAGGGTCTTTGATTTTCGCTGACTCGTAAAATCGAAACAAGATGACGTCTGAAGTTTCAGCGAGATTTCCGCCACGTGATAATTTTTATCCGAAGCTGTTTTCAATGTCGCAGTGTGAGACGAGAAGATTCCGTCTCTAATGAAATCTGGTCTTTCACTCAGTCAGCTACAAGGCAGAAAGCGCACGCAACGAAACATTTACATAATTGGATGAAGGTACGAATGCATGAAAATTTCGTCTCAATGCAAATGTCGCCTAAGCAGGTTGCTCCGCTGTTTTGTTTGCCGACGTAGCGAGCGTGGCGTTAATCGTCGGAAAACGGCAAGCCATGTCGCTATACGATATTTGGTAACAGATCACCATCCAGCTGAAGATTGTTCCAAGGATCGACATCATCACCTGCAACGCACATCGTGAGGGAAAATATCGAATATAATTCAAGGTAACATTCCCCGACGAAATAGCGACCCACCGATGCCCTCTCACTCAGAAACGCTCTAATCCTCGAATCGAACTTTTCTACTCACCCTGTATCCAACGATCCCCATCCCTGGAACCCGGAGTCCTAGAGCTCGAGAGATCAGGTTTATAGCACAGTTGAGATCATCGTTGTCTCGGGTGTTCTCCTCGAGACGAATATGGCGAATCAGTCTTCTTGTTTGTCTACAAGACGCGTGAAACTTCTCCGCAGCTATGCTCAACAGCAGCAGTTGACCGATATTTGTCGACAAAACCCAAAACAGATAGGTCAGCAAGACCGGGATCGTATTGGGCGGCATGGCGTATCGCGCGCGATCGTGCAGGCATGGGAAGACCATCATGGAGAACGTTGTGACACGGAAACAGACGTGGAGCACGATATGACTGTGAACTATGGCGGCTATGCGCGATGAATTGTCGCAGCACAGATCGACGGTGTTTCGGAATCTCCTGATCAGTCGCATGCGGTCACCCATCCCGCTCTCGAGTCCTGCGTTGACGTTCTGGATTTTGCGATCCGCGACGGAGATGCTCGTGAACACAAGCCACGGAACCACGTATTGCGTATGATAGAAAACGTAGGTGTTCGCCAGAATGCTGTAGATATTGTAGAAGATATCCGAGACGGTTGAAGCATCCGTAGAAGCTACGGAGTGTAAGACGTGCAGGATGAATATGAGCGTGTCCTGCAGCAGAACGTACACGAAATATCCGTACGACTTAGGACCCAGAGATCTGAGAGCTATGTCGACTAAAAGCTCTTTCTGTCTCGCGAGGATGGCGTGGATGGACAGAAAGGCCGACGTGGTGTGGAGCAAGGTCCCAAGGTGGAAGAATTTCCGGCTGAAAGTATTGGGCTCGCCGGGCACGGGTCCGGCCTTCCCCATCAGTGCCCCGACATGTGAGAATGTATGCTGGAAAATAGCCAGGTGACAAACAACGATCAGGAAGCTTTTCAGGAAGACCCGTTCATCGGGCCACAACACTCCGAGAACGCGAAACATGTAGACCATCAAATGAGGTTTCTCCTGCGGCGGGAACGATGCAGTCGGGGTGAGGCTCATCTTGGCGGAATCGAAGAGTCGTCGTCGCGCCACAGCGTCGTATTCCGGGGCGGGGTGAACGCTGGTCATGTCGCCAGACGTCGAAACCGAACGCAACTGGTGAAAAAACTTGGTC